TCTTGCAAGAGATACTAAACGTTCTAATGGTTTATTTAAAAAGACCAAAATAGGCTGACTTAGTAGAAAATTGTGTGATATAGAACTGCGCACAGGGGGCATTGAAGAGTAGAGTGCGGATGACAAATTGGCGTCCCTCTCCGTTTTGCATGACATAGAGCTTAGCAGTTGAATACAGTTGGCAAGTCCCTATATCTCGTATGAAGTCCTTGCAGTAAGGTGTCTTACAAAATAGTGACGATTTTAAATAATGAAACGTTACTCATATTTTTCTTGAACTTCAATCTCTTGACTATTTTTTTTGTTCATTATGAGGCGTTAGATAAATGAATACATGTATCTACTTTTGACTACTTATTGGTACTTTAGATTCAATTTTCAGGCTACCGATCCAGTCAAGTAAAATCTCAGACCGATGTAGAAACCTTTGATTTCAACCCTTGAATAGTTATCGCCCAGAAATTTTATAAAGAATGGAAAGGAGACTGGAAAACTACCTTACCTTTCAATAAAATTGAAATCCGTCTGACATAGTGCTACGTACTCCGGTCCAACACCCATAAGTAGTCGATGTCCAAACATGTCAAGTATTTGATAGAAGTAGACACCAAAAGCAGGCACCTCCTCGTGACTTATCCGCAGCAATTCATACTGCGCTGCACGTACTGACATCCCAGTCAGCTGACGATGGAAAGTGGCGGCCATGGAGATCACCTCATGAGGCATTTCAGCACGACGATCGGACCAGAAACAGGCGTATTTACATGGCGTGGTAGCGGCGTTGAAACTACCGAACTGGACGTATGTCATGAGGGCAATGAGACGGGACTGCAGCTCGAGAGAGGTCTCAGCATCCCAGAGGCCCAGCTTCAACTGCTGCATGGCATTGAGGTAGAACTGGTGTCTATGAAATGGAGTATTCAATAATAAGTCTTGATGCTAGACAAACATTTTCCTTAAACGAATCAAAAATATGAATTTTTTCTGCGGAATGCAGCCTTAAAAAAATTCGACTAGAATACAACTGTCGGAAACTGAGTACATCATCCTCATCCACTCTCGAATGGCTGAAGTGATTCAAGTTGGATTGATCGCTAGCCAAGTTGTTAAAGGAGCTGGAAATGTGATTTTTAGATCCAAGCACCCAGGTGCTCAAAGATACTATTGAAGTGAAGTGGTTCAACTGAGTTCCTATTTGTTGTCACAAGTCAATGATAATGAAAAATATGCAGTTAATTTGTGCCACTCTTCGAATTGTCTTGGTACAAAGTCAATTTTACTCCAATGTATAGCACAGCTTCTACCTTCCATATTGAAAGAACGAACGGAACTACGAAACCCTTGAATGTGAATGTTCCAGATATGCATATTTGTTTAATACCATTGACACTATTATCCAGTCTCCAGCTAACAGAGAAGGCTTTGTGGTACCATTTTCCTTGTTAGAAGCGGTATAAAGAGTTTATTTGGTCCTATGCCAGTCAGTTTCACAA